CTGCCCACACACACACCGCCCCCCCCGAGACCTGCCCTTAAAGAGACCTTGCCCCCCCACACACCTGCCCCCCCACACCCTGCCCCCCAGAGCCCTACCCCCTCCACACACATACATCCTGACCTCACATAAACCTGCCCTGCCCCCCACACATATCCTGCCCCAGAGACCTGCATCTCCCCCCTCAGAGACCCTGCCACCTCTCAGAGACATGCCCCACACATACACCCTGCCCCCCAAGACCTGTCTACCCCCCCAGCCCCACCCCTTCGCCCCACACCCCCTGACCTCCACACCAACTCCCTACCCCCCACAGAGACCTACCCCCCACAAACACCCTGTCCCCCACACCCTGCTCCATTCACAGACACTACCTCCTTCCCCCCACACCCTGACAGTTCCCCCCACACAGAGGCCTTGCCCCTCACACCCTACCTCCTTCCCCCCACACACAGAGTGAGACCCTGCTCCCATACTCTGCCCCCACACCCCGTCTCCTCCACCCATGCTACCACCTGCTGCCTCCCCCCACTGTCCCGCCCAGTCCCTGCCTCTCACCTACCACCCTGGCAATAGCGCTGGGGAGCCCCTGACCCCCAGCACGGCGGGATCTCGGCACACACGGATGCCCATTAGTCGTGTTCCTCACACAGGGCACCGTGCACACTCCTGGGAAGAGCCAACCTCTGCTCTGCGCACCGGCTGCACCCTGCATTCAGATGGGCACTGGCTGCCAGGCCCAGCCCGTGGGGGGCAGAGGGGGGGGGGGCTGCCTCTTTGCTTCCCACTTCCCCCTCTTCTGCCTCCCCCTCCTCGCCAGGCTGAAGTTGGTTCTTTATTCCCAGCAACTTAGTCAAAGGCCAATATTATTGGACAATATATCAGTGTAACAGTCATTTGCTGGAAAGTTCATCAGACTGATGACTGAATGTGACAAACCTTTACATGACTAGTTAGTTATTAATTAAATAATCCAGTAAGGAGCTGGGGTTTGACTGGCTGTACATGACAAAATAAATCTGGGTCACCCCAAGTGACACATCCCTGCCACCGCTATTTCGTTACAAAGAGATGAAGATACGTCACTCCCAGCAGTGACCCTTTAGCTCTGGTCTGACATTTCCCCCACATTTTATGTTGTGGTTTTGTTTTTAGGAAACATACAATATGCATGTAAGTAGTTGGCCAATTTGTTGCAAATCCAATTGTAATGTTTTCCCAAAAGTTATAAGCCAGTTACAAAGGAAGACGTTTATAGGAACTTTGGTTGAGTGTTCAGTCAAATAAGCATAGGAAAAATGGCTACATTTATCAAACGTTATATAAAGAAAAGGGTTATGATTTGTGTTGGATCTTTTGTACAGCAGCACTATGGCTTGATAGGCTTTAATGGAATTGGAGAACTCCGGCAGTGGCTAGAATCTCTCCACTTCCTCTCCTTCCTAATTCCCAGAGTCCCTCGTGGAGTGGAGATCCCTTCCTTCGCTGGCCAGCCCTTACGCTGAGCGCCTTTGTGGAAACACACACACCCTGCTGGTAATGGTGTAGAGTGCTCCCCCATACACACACCTTTTACCCCCTCAACAGGTTATAACCAGTCATGAGAAGGGTCCCACCACGGTTCAGTAATGCCAGTTGTATACATTTTTCCCTCATAAATAAGAATTTCTAATTCCTCTTACTGGTGACCCAGACTCGCAGCATTGGTAGACATGCAACTGAAAAATGTCTTCTCTTCAGACTCTTTGCCACAGCAGCTCAATTTGCTGATGACACTTTGCGTTTGTACCTCATTTGCCTCCTTAGCACTCTCCCCGGCATTGGTTGTGTAATGCCCTCCTAGCTGCTCCAGCTGGTCTCCAACCAACCATGGTAGCCCCTCTACCTGAGAGATCCCGCCATCCCGTTTGTACAGCCCCCGTCTCCTACTGGAACGGGGCCCAGTGTTCCACAAAACCAAAACCTTCAGCCTCATACCAGTCACGCAGCCAACAGTTCATCTGCGGTATTGTCTCCCGTCTCTCATTCATTGGACCAATAGGATCTCATAGAATCATAGAATCATAGAATCATAGAT